GTGCCCAAATACACAATTTAAAACCTTTTTCACTCAGTTGCTAGTAAATTTCAACTAGAGAAACGCTAAGTAACACATTGAATTAAATGTACATTTTTGAAGTAGAAAGCCTGAAGTAGTATTTTCTTGTAAAATGTACTCCAATAATCTGTTTAATTTACAACTTTTTACACTTACATACATTTGATCATTCTGTGTATTGGTTTATTATTTAAAAATGAACAAACCTGTTTAATATGAAATATTTTGCTTGAAAAGTGTGCTTGTGCTACCTTTTTTTTATATATATATATATAAAATAGATGTCACTGTTATCTTTTGCATGATATTTACACATTTTCCAAGTGTGGCTTAAGTATCCAAATACTGTACCATGCTATTTTTTTTTAAGTTCTTCGCTGTTCCATGCACATGAATGAATAAAACGGGTATAGCAACAAAAGGATTTATTTCACGCATGGAAACTATAAAAAAGGTAACACATTTGCCTTGAATATACATGAAGTGGTTACAGACTTAAAATGCACAGCTCACATTGTACACATGCAATTCAAACACCCCCGCTCTCTACATTAAAAAAACAGAGCGATTGGCCCAAAAGTACTGTGGTACTGCATTTCATTTGAATACATAAGCCTGTTTGGCCCACACAAGTATTATGCACATCATTAAGCCTCTACAGTGTTAAGAGAGCTGCGTGTGTGTGTGTTTTCTAGGAGCTCTTTATAGCCTGACTTCATGATTAACCTTCACAGATTGTACAATGATGATAATTTAGTAACAAAGATGAGCAGCTGCTTCTAATCAGCCCAAACGACTACGAGCCCTATTATTGTGCGCAGACAGTAGCATACTGTCATACTACACTTAGTATTTCTGCAATATGTGCACATTTTCTGTATGCATGGAATACCCGGATGACCTACTACATGTTGCAGTACACAATATGATTGAAATATTTATTCAGGAAATGACTCGTGGTTGCATTTATTTGATTAAAATTACTGTAAAAGCAGTAATATTGAGAAATATTATTAGAATTTAAAATAACTCTTTTCTATTTGAATATATTTTAAACTGTAATTTATTCCTGTGATGCAAAGCTGAATTTTCAGCATCATTACTCCAGTCTTCAGTGTCACATGATCCTTCAGAAAACATTCTAATATGCTGATTTGCTGCTCAAGAAACATTTCCTATTATTATCAATGTTTAAAACAGTTGTGCTGCTTAATATTTTTGTGGAAACATTTAGTAACATTATAAATGTCTTTACTGTCACTTTCAATCATTTAATTCATCCTTGCTGAAAAAAAGTATGAATTTATTTACAACAAAAAAGAAAAGAAAAAAAATCTTATCGAGTCCAAACTTTCTCAATACAGTGACTTGCTCAGTTCAGGTTGTCCTCTTGAAAAAGCATTACAACATTTCCTAATGTCTTGAAATGACACGGACATTCATTTAGGAGCTTGTGCATGAGCAATGTGACCAACAGCACAGATTTGGTGTAATATAAATGCTTAGTGTGCTCATTACTAGATCCTCTGTGCTTACAAGACAATATTTGACACAATTGAAGATGTGAAAGCAATTTACCACTTTCCCTTTTTCTTGTACCTTTACATCACACCATAACCAACATCTTACAGTTAATAAATGACAGATGTTTACTATAATTTAATGTTGTATCAAAGAAACATTACAACTACTCCATTTCACTTTAAAAAGCACTTAAGTGATGCATCAAGCGAACACATCACACTTTATACACCACCAACTATTCAAAGGACAGTAGTTCAAACAATCTTTAGACTTTCACTGCCATAGTACATATATTGTGTAAAGAATATTTAATATGTGAAATAAATTATAGGTATGTGACAATATTCTCTCTCTCTCGCTCTCTGATATAATGTGCTCTCATTAACCATTGTTTAGTGTATCAGTAAAAAAAAATCTTACTTTGTGTTTTCTTTTTAAAGATTCAAGCTAATAACATTTATACATGTGAAAAAAAAATCATAATATCCTTTATTCTAGTGACTCCAAAGGCTCACTTGAAGAACTTAAACAAGTGCACTTTTGAAAAGTCTATTAATGCAATGTGAATTATGCTTTCCCCAGCTTTATATATTAGTTACCAGTTTGATTGAAGGAATAGTTCGCCCCAAAATGAAACTGTACTCACCTTCAGGCCATCCAAGATGTAGATGAGTTGTTTTTTTTATCATCAGAACAGATTTGGAGAAATGTATCATGACATCACTTGCTCACCAGTGGATGCTCTGCAGTGAATGGGTGCCGTCAGAATGAGAGTCCAAACATCTGAGAAAAACATCACAATAATCTACAAGTAATCCACACCACTCCAGTCCATCAGTTAACATCTTGTGAAGAGAAAAGCTGCACATTTAAAAAACAAACAAATCTACCATTAAGGTGTTTTAACTTTAAACTCCTGGCCAAAATATGAGTCCATAATCCATAATAATGCTTCCTCCAGTCAAAAAGCCATCCACTGTTGTCCTCTCACTTTAAAATCCATGACATATTTGTTTAGAACTGTTTTGGCTTGTAAAAGGTGCTTGATCTGTGCATATTTCTCTCCTGATTCAGATGACTTTTTAACTGAAGAAAGCAATATTATGAATAGAGAACTCGTATTTAAACAACGGAAACAATAGTTTGAAGTTAATCATGGCTTAATAATGGATTTGTTTCTCACGAACAAACAGCTTGTGGATTACTTTCATTACTTGAACTGGATTATTGTGATGTTTTTCTCAGCTGTTTGGACTCTCATTCTGACGGCACCCATTCACTGTAGAGGATCCATTGGTGAACAAGTGATATAATGCTAAATTTCTCCAAATCTGATCCAATGAAGAAACAAACTCAACTACATCTTGGATGGCCTGAGGGTGAGTACACATACATTTTTGGGTAAACCGATTCTTCAATGCCATTATAAAGCTGTTCTACACTGAGCAATATACTTGGTATGTATTTTGGATACCCCACACCTGGAAATATAGCACTGCAGGGTAACCTTTACTACATCTAAGACATGTAATACATCTGCTTAGTTTTGATTACAATCTTGCTTTTGAACAGTGTACTTATAGAAAACAGCTACTACCTCAGCACACTCTTAAAAATGCTGGGTTAAATACAACCCAGCGCTGGGTAAAATATGGACAAACCCAGCAATTGGGTTGTTTTCAACCAACAGTTAGCCTGAATGTTTAACCCAACCTTCTGTGCCGTAATCCAACTGCTGGGTCAAAACAACCCAATCGCTGAGTTTGTCCATATTTACCCAGCGCTGGGTTGTATTTAACCCAGCATTTTTTAGAGTGTAGGAAAACCAAACCAAAGTAAGGACAGCTTCATCTGGGATCAAGTACATATGCTTATGTGCTATAACATTAGCTTTGTTTTAAAAGGGGGGGTGAGCATATTCTTAAAGCATACAGTAGCATGTATCTGTTGTGTTATTGTGAAGACAACAACCTTGTAACCTGAACATTGATATGGAAATATATATTTCTCTACTGGAATCTAATGCATATTGCACCATTACAGTAAAACTTCACATTTTTGTTAATTGTTAGCACAAATCTACTATTTTACCATATTGATAGATATTGTAAAATAGATATCTTATTTAAAGCATTCATATGTCTATTCCCTTGGTTGCGGTACATCATCTTCTACTCCAAAAACGTGGGTTGATGACAACGAGTAAGTGTGTGACACATATACAAAACACGAACAGTATACAAATACAAACAAGCTTAAATGTGTTCACGGTGAACTTTTGTAACATCTTAAGGCATATTGCATCCTTGGATAATAATAGCTTACTCATAGTGTCTATAGTGATGTTATAGATTATACAGACATTTATTTCAAGTTTTGTAAAGTAGCTGATGGTGGTTTGTTCTGCAGCATGTTGAGTTATTATGACGCTTCACCATTGTGCTTTCATTCAACAGTCTTTTGAGTTTTTTGCTTCTCTTTTTGCACTGTCACTTTCTGTGTTTTTGCGTGTTTGCCTACAACTTGGTTAATATGATGACAGTGCTTGCAAGGCAGCATGAACAGGTTACTGTATATGAAAACATCATATTTTACCCCAGAATTGAAAGGAGAAAATAAGAATGTATATTTTGGCACAAAAGAAAATGAAACCTGTTTTATAGAAGTTTTTGCATTGTGACAACATTTTTTAGTGATGACATTTTAAAACCAAAGACAGTACAACCATTGCTACTATGATGTATAAATGTACAGTATATATCATTATTTTTCACATTATAGTAAGGAGTCATTTTTTGTGGTAAAATGAGAATGAAGATGAAATGTCCTTGACATGTTTCTTTTTTTTTAGCTCAAAATTTGTTTTGATGATTTTTTTTTTTTTTTTTTTAAATCTGCCACTAACTTTAATTTTTAGTGTTTACCATTGAAAATCTAACCGACAGATGGCACTATTGCAATATTAGCAATTTTTTTATTTTTTTATTGAATCATGGTAATTTTTTTCTGTTGAACCATATATAGTCAACTTATGCAATGATACGTGTTGCCATGTCCATCTATTATACGCAATTTGGGATTGTTTTTTTTATAGAGTTGCTTATAAATATGGACAGTTGTGGGATGCCATTTTTAGGCTTATTTTATACCCAATATACCCAATGATGAGTAAAAACAGCTTTTTTCCTTTTCCAGGTATATGTGAATATGAAAGGATGTAATTAAAATACATTTGGCAACTGAAGTGATTAATCTATTCTTTATGTAATCTATATATTTAGTTTTCTCTGTTGATCAATTAATTATTAATTAAATTATTATAATTATTTTTTTTTAAGCAACTTGCTTATCTGCAGCTTGTTTTTTTTTTTAGACCAAGTTTCTTTTTTGATGACTGGCAACACAGTAGACAAAAAAAAAAGTTATGGCAACAGCAACCGCGGCTCTGATGAGGTGTTTCATTTACAGATTTTCAAAACTTAAACTTACCTAAAACCTTTATTTAAGCTGCCTTGTGAGCACTATTTCCGTTTTGGACTGCAAATCTACAGGTTTTTCAATGGGATTCGGTTGTGCTACGTGTTTAGCATTCCAGAAGGAACCTGATTACCGTTCGCAGCGTCGGTGGTGGTGTTCGGTTCACATTCCACAAGCGTCTCCCTCCCATCTCCCTCAGCTAACTGCCTCATCCTCATATTAATGGATCCGTACGATTTCATGGGTCTTCTAGCGAGAGTCCTCCGGCGATACAGTTCCCCTTTGCATATAGACACCATTAATAAAATGGATAAGAGCATTCCTCCCAAAGTGAGCAAACCAAGTCCCGCGATAATACATTTGTCGAGGTGAGAACCGAGTTGTGCGTAGTACATCTCCAGTTTCTCCATATGGCGTGCTGTCACTTGGTCCGGGTTGACTTTAGCCTCTCTTGGGATCGTGTAGGCGATTACCACTAATATGATTCCGCTTACGAGGAAAATTAGTGCGAAAATGAACCCGTAGTCCACCGAGTGGCCGTTATACTCGAGCTCAGGTTCGTCTTCGGAGCGCGGTGACGGCACTTCTCTCTGAATAGGCAGCCGATTCGACTGAGAGTCGATGGACATGAACCCAGGTCCAGATGTTCTGGAGGTAACGCGAATCCTCGTTCCCAGATCCTCATCCTCGAACGACGCGTTTTCGATGCCAGCCGCGGGCCTCGGTCCTGAAGCCTGAGTAGGTTCTCGTCTGCTCCTATCCCCCAGTTCACGGAGCTCCACTGCGTTCAGAGACTCCATCGACACTCAACGCTTGCACTCATGTTGAATCAAATGCCTCTTGTTTCACCTTGCAAAAAAGAATGTAGCACATATTATACGTTTTGTACAGTACAATAGATGTCTTTGAAATGTTTATAACACCAATTAACTCAGATCAGTTCAGATCCAGAGTCCGATCCAATGAACATCACTTTTCTCAGGTGTGCTTGAATTTTTTTTTTCCTAGAAAATTAATCTATCACAGAATGGAACTCTTTGACAAAAAAAAAAAACCTCTTTTAAGAAATAAAACATGACATCCTGTAAACAAAAGACCTGTACTACTGTAAAACTGCTAAATGTGGTTTCAGTACTAATCGCCATACAAACTGTGTCCAAAACTCAATCAGGTTTGTAGCGTATTGACCAATCAGAAAGACACAATGCACAGTAAAAATGGACTCTTCTCTAATTAATTCATAGGAAAACCTTT